TTAATTCTGTTTAAAATAATACAAATAATTTGTTGATTATTGAATAACAAGTGAAGCAAAAATGTCTTAAAGCACATAATTCTCGTATATACATTTTTATGTTTGAGTTCATTGCGTATTTTTAGTGCTTCGTAGCTATAGTTATATAAACCTATATAGTTGATATAGGTTTATGGTTTCAATCTCCGCGATGGCCGAAAAGTTAACCTAGCTTAAAATCCAAAATTAGCATACGCTTAGTGAATCAGATCGGCTAATGGATCAGTAGTATAGTGCGCGCAAGCACTCTTGACCATGGAGCTGCGCGAAGGCGGAGTCAAATTCACGTAAAGGCAGAAAGGTTCTATTGTAAATGGAATTATACAGTGCATAGTACAATGCGTTTCACACGGAAGTGGTGACTAAACCAAATTTCATCTACTGCGCCGTGGTCAAGAGTGCTTGCGGGCACTCTAGTAGCAAAATATGGGAACTGAGCTGCTAAAAATCTGAAACAGACGTTATAATTGTTATGAAGTCAAGAAAATTACCTATTTACGACCATTGGAAGAGAGAGTGACAATGATGAATTTGGGTACTGGAAACATTTTTGAACAGTGGATTAGTTCTGTAAACTACTTATTTAAATCGTCTCATTAGTGATGGTACAAATATAAGTGTTACTTTATGTCTAATATTTGAAGACATGTTTCGTCTTTGAGACGAAATGAAGAATTTACGAGACATCCATTTAAAATCTATACGCTAAAGCCAGACACATCAATCACTATAATGATGAAAGCAACAAAAATGAAAGATACTTCGTATAATAGTTGGAAAGACGCTTCTAAGTACAGAAAGGAGCGAAAACATTACACACAGAAAGATACACAGATACCCGAGACCTACAGATTAACGTAGATTTAAAGGCATATTAGATAGACTCAATGACTATTGTGTAACAAGTGTGACTATTGTGTAATTTTTTCAACTACCTGAACTACCTAGCTCAAGGGACCGATCGTTTGTAACTACTTTGTCTATGTTCAGTGTAAATAACCTTTGGACCCTAGATATCTTGTTTTCTCTAGCTGTAGCTCAAGTGCTGAAAGTACAGGGCATGATTCCTGACCACCTGATTCTAAACCTAAAACATAACTTAGTCGTATATACTGAGATTGCGCTACAATGGAGAATGTTCTCGGTCTCATAGACCGAAATGACAGAAAATCTGTTACATTTAAATCTCCACAATTACAAAAAGACGTAGTTGCCATTCCGTGAGTATAATAAAAAAGGAATGTACAAGTTGAATCCCATTAAAGAAACTTTATGCCATTCTCTTAAATTGTGTTACATAATAAACAATAATGACAAGAGTTTTATTTTTAATTTTCAATTCCTGTATTATACAAAAATTTAAAATTCCTTTCTTGAACCTATTTGTTATATCTTCAAGACTATTTTTGCTTCACCTTGTTGAAACATACTGTTTGAAATGCAGAGATTATATTTTTTTAAAGTTGGATAAACCGAATGAGAAATATTTTTTACCAATATTTATATGCATGTATACGTAGCGTAAGCAAATATATTTATGATGTATTGTTCAAGTAGATTATAAACATTTCAGATGCTGGATCATCGAGTTGCCTTTGTTAGGAACACTCAGTATAATTGCTTGTTTGTATATATATTAAAATAAGGCCAATTTCCAGATACATTTAGTTTGTTTTTCTATATTTTAGCAAAAAGTATCACTAAGGAGGGTTAGTTTTATCCAATTTTTAATATTTTACAGTTTTATCAGTACAATTTTACAGTTCGAAGAGAAACAATTAAAGACGTAGAGTCAGACATAAATATCTACAAGATAACTGTAGGAAAATATTAAACTAATAATTTAGACCAAAAGGAACAGAGAGGAAAACACCGTGGATGTTCAACATGATATTAAAGTTGACGACTATAAGAAGAGAAGTCAGAGGAAAAGATAATTCAGCAGATCAGCAAATTGACAAAGAAATAAAAAAGTGTAATCAGGGAACATAAAAAGAGACTGATGGAGATACAATGTGAAAATATCGAGATATTAGAACGCGAACACGATTCATTTAACTTCCACAAAAAGATCAAGAAAGCAGCAGAGTTATTTAAACCAAAAATGCCAGAATATTTAGCAGACATTCGAGGGAGTCAGGTAATTTATACTAAAAAAATAAAAACAACATATAAAATAACCTATGTGACAATAACATTTGAAGACATGAGAAATATTATCACCATACAGAATAAAAAGCCAATGCAGAAGTAGAAGCTGCTATAAATAATATCAAATATGCAAGCTGCAGGGCTAGATGACCTTGTTCTTCAATAATCTAGATACATAAAAATCCCAATGCAAAAAATTGTGAATACTATTTTTTTACACAGTGCTTTGTTTTTATATTTTGTTTTGTTATTTAAGACTATTGAATAATATTACTGGAATATGGGTCAACTCCTGATGGCATTTGACAAAATAATACATAAAAGGATATAGAAAAAGTCTGACTTAACACATGACAAATACAAAGTTCACATTCAAGGATGCAGCAGATACTCGAGAGGCGAACTATGTAGAAACGTTAATGGTAATACATATGTGTGGTTATGCAGAAACTGCGTTATTATAAACAGCATCTATTACGAACAAATTGTCTTGTTATGATGGGTGATCTGTTAACATATATAAAGAACAAGGGGTGTATGGCAGGGTTGTATACTATCTCCATTACTATTCAACATATATTCAGAGCAACTTTGTCCACTAGATTAAAGAGACATTGCCGGAGGAATACTACTTCTAAATGCAGAATAACCGAACAATGCAATATATTTGGTAGGTCCCCAGATGCTAATCTTGAACGTAGCAGAAGAAAATACTGGTTTTAAATTTAATATAAAAAACAAAATATATGGTTATATAACATAACATAAATAATATAACATTTGGACTATTCATCATCATCATTGGCTCTACAACCCATAGTAGGTCTTGGTCCGCTTCAAGATCAGCTTCCATTCCTTATTATTCTTCGCATTGGTTTTCCAATTTCGTACTCTTAACACTATTAAGTCTTCCTCCACTTGATCCTTAAAGCGTGCCTCTGGCTTGCATATCTTCACTTTATTCTTTCTTATGTGGCCTAGCCACCATAGCCTATTTATTTTGATGGACCTAGTAACTCATGATCAGGTTCACTATAAAGGCGGAAAAGCTTAAAATTATAGTACCTGCAGTAAAATCTGTTTTATTGCATGCCTTTATAAATATGTTTGAGGATTTTAACAACTAATATAGATGCATAGAAGCACACTTCACTATGGCATTTCTTAGTACTGCTGAAGTGGAACCAAGTGGAGCAAGATTTTAGTTCCTTACAATACCACTAGGGAGAGCTCACGTGAGCACTATTACTGCTTCTAAAATATGAAAGAGTGGGCAGCAAATCCAACTTTATATATTTTCTTATGTAGATGCTGCGTAGCCGTGTGCGTAGAATGCTTAGCATTAAATATTGGATTTTATAAGATTAAAGATCAAATCCTACTGAATCTTTTTAGAAAAAAATATCTACATATAATTCAAATTCTCTTCTTATAAAATATAAATACAATTAATTAAAAGTCAATCACTGGGAAAGAAAGCTGAAAAAAATCTAAGGTGTTTTGATCAAAAAACAATTTCTGATTTTGTTAGTACGCTAGAATTTCTTTTTATCACCTACGCCAAAGAATTCTATTTTACAGTTTGAAAGTTCACAATTATAAAAACGCTTTCTTGAACAATTCTTGAAGAATAGAGGTATACAACCATATACTCTCTTTATATATTTATTTCATCCGATATTTCTGGGAAATGTACATTATGTTTTGAATCTATGTACTACATACTTCAAATACCTACTTTTATTCCATAAACGGTTCCTTTTCCATGTTTTCTGGTTTATGGACTTCAATTTTGAATTACTTTATGATTTTTTTGACAAATTATTGTAAAATAGTTACTGCCTTTATGATGTATTAGATCTCTGTTTATCCATGAACATGTTTGTATTGAATCCATGCATTATACGCACATTGTTTTGTTTGGGTTGATTACATAGAGTAGCTCCATGTGATTTTATTTTTATAAATTTTTATAACAGCTAAATGTCTGGAGATTCGGCCTTAGTAAACGCCTTTGGTATTAGCAATAGACAAGTTGTTTTATATTATTCTGCACATGGATAAAAATCAAACAAAAAATGACTTTAGGGCTGCTTCTTAGGTTAAGCTTCAATGTAATTTTATTATAATCTACAATACATATATTAAACACAATGTATGTTACATATGTATACACAATTAACCTACAAAGCAACCTGTTAACTATGTATTTGATTTGTTTTGTCCATGATGTCAAATGCGACATATTTTACTGAGTTAATTTATAAATATGTATATTTTTAAATACGTTTTTACTGACGGTTAATATTTTTATTGATAGCTTTAATTGTTTTTATATGTAAATTTAAAAACTGTATATTATGTTATGTTTAATTCATTTGTTTTTATGAGGCTCATTCAGGATTTTTTCCATTTCAATAAAGTGATCTGAGATATATTTTTGTTTTATTTTGACCAGTGAGTATTCACAAGTTCCTCAAGCTGAGTAGACTATGATGAAGTGTTACCAAAATCAAGCAGCTATAGCAAAATTTTGCAATAAGTGTAGGTTTTACAAGAAGACATTGATGCATAGAGCAACCAAGAGTAGTGGTATTACTAATAAAAAGCTAACTGCACATTTACACACTAAAAATAGTATTAAAATGCCAAAGGGAATATGACCACAACTATATCTAGATAATGAAAATCTAGAACTATAAAAAGAAAACAATACATTAAGAGAGAAAAACAAATCATACATAGAGATGAAAAAATATTTAGATAATATCATTAAATTCATAAGATGAATTCCACTGAAAACAAGGGAATGAACCTATAAAAACTGATCATTGGTTCTACTTTGTAAAATATATTTATAATAAGTTTATGTTCTTAAAAGTTAACAAAAACATCTGTTTTTAGCCTAAAAATAAGACAATGAAGGACTAGCAACATATGAACATAAATATCTTCCTAAATGCAACTATTTTTGGTATTACAGATCACAATTCTAACACTCACATTTTCAGTATACTGAACATTAATTACAGCATAATGTACAAATTACTATCGTGTAACTGGCACATGTAAAAATTGTTCCAAACATAAATCAGCGTTATTAGATCTAAATAGAGGTTCATCTTCTTGATACCATCTATCAAGATCAAATCTTGGAAAGAATATTCCAATTTCCCTCCTTGCAGATTCCTCAGAATCAGATCCATGGGTGGCATTTCTTGTATCTGATAAACCAAACTGCCCTCTTATACTTTCGGGAGCTTCAAATTGAGCTTTAAACACTTTCGTTGGACCCATTAGTTGCCTCCAGTCTTTTATTGCATTTTCTTTAGCTAGGATCATAATGTCACTAGGTCCACTAGTCATAAAAGTTACTAGCCTTTTATAAAAGAATTTTTCCTTGTGCTCACCATAAAATATGTTAGCTTCTTCTAAAGATATAGTTTTTCTTTGGGATTTGACAATTTTAAAATTGCTAGAGATAATTATTTCTCTAATTTTTTGTGATGATATAGGATTTTTTACTATATGTGGCTTAATTATGGCTAATGTTAATTGTAATTTAGAAGCTATAGTCATGTTTTAATAAATAAATTTGTTGAAATTATCTTTTCAAATTTTGTATACATAACCTCTTTAAAAAATAATACATTTTCATCTACCATCTACCTCTTCTTATTCTTATATTGTTACCGTCATGATATATTATATGTTGGTTCTCCAGCTACCACAATTTGCGATTGATTAAAGAGTTGCCTACTGTATAGGTAAATTTCATTGAGGAAAACTCAAAGGTTTCAACATCGTGCACAAAAATCGAATACGTATTTATCCACTTTAACGAAGATTTTTCGAAAAAAAAAAAAAAAAATTGGATTTGACAAGAATTGCAGTTCTAATTTGATCCAGCTATATGGTATGGTATTACAATAAGAATCGGGATATAGTTTTCATCGTGAAGCATGTTGGTAACGTACTTCAAAGCTCTTATTCGTCTTCCATAATTTTAAATTTGTGTTATGAGATTCTATTTGATAATTCGTTCCCCGGGCACTGATAGGATCTTATAGGAGTGTATAATATTCCTGTCATCCAATCGCGTTATCGCCCTATTAATAACCTTAAATACAATTTAGAATCATCCGAGGACAAAATTTTTTCCAAAACAGAATTTTCAAATCAAGATGATCTCTTGGAATGTAGTAACATTAGATTTAGAGTATATTCGTTTTCAAAACGGAGAAACTACGGAAGAAGAACGCAGAGACACCCAAATAGATGTCGATAAAACAGAAATAAATAAAATAGCGATCATCACATTGGAAGAAATAAAAAAGCAAATAAATCACTAAAGGGAAAATTTCCAGTGCATTTTTTACTACTTAATACGAATGTAAAGCCCGCTTCATTATCTTTACAAAGAATCGTTTATTATTTCCGAATAACTGCGTATTTGAGGTGAGCAATATACAATACATCACAAAAACTAAACAAAAAACATTTAAAAGTGTTTGTTAATAAATTCACTATAAAAGTACAATAATATTACATTCCGTACCTTTCCGAAAACTTGTTAAGCAGCGCTGATTGACAAATAGAACAGTAAAATTTTCTACATAAAGGTCGATTCAAACACATCAGTCACGTCTCGTCATAGTTCCGACGCCGAACCGAACAATCCGTCATACAAAATATTCTTTAATAGAAATATATCTACCATAGCACACTACCATTGTAAGATAATTTGATAACAACTTGTTATCAACAAAGAAAGAGTTGCTACACCGGTACAAAGAACTTAACATATAAAAAATGCTACAAAAATCGAAGATATTTTTCAACAACCAATGTCTTAAGTTCAGTTTATTACCTAGTTATGTCAAAGGTAGACTCAGAGAATTCAATTTCAATACTGCAACAGTAAAACAAATAAACATTTTGGGAAGATCCATCATCAGAGACGAGATCAGGAAGATATACCAGACAATTTACACCATAGATTTACAACTGAAGGCAACATATGACAATTTACATCAAAAATTGACCCCACAGGAGTTTGATGGGAGGAAAAATATTCATGATTTAAAGAAAGAGTTGTTATCAACAGGTCCTCGAAGACACTTCGTCTCAGGACCATTTTACCTGTGTAGGGTCATACGTCGCCATGTTACCAATTCCAACGGTAACTTAAACATCATAATCTGTAACCATATATAATGTAAAACAACTGTAAATTTATAACATTTAAAGGGTTTTGACCCATATATTTTGGTGGCTCATAGCATGTATACCTCGTTTACACTGATGATGGATTTAACAATCCGAAAACGTTTTGTAATTTAATTGTGATAGCCCGTTTGGGCATTTTATTATATACCTTTTATAAAGGATTTGAAATAATTTTTTTTATATTTTACTTACTTGTAATAGTAATAACGTCTGCATGCTTTATTCCTTAATTTTCATTAAAATTTTCATTTCATTAAAATAAAAAGCAACGGATTCTTGCAATTTCATAAATAATAACTCAGATAGCCATGCACGTACCACAATACATCGATGTTAGGTTAGGAAGTTCAATTATGTGATGACACCAGTGTTGCCGATTGACGAGAATAGACTATAAATTATTGAAATATTTCATTTATACGTAAAAGCGGTTATATTTATATCCATCTTCTTCTTCTCGTAGCACTACAACCCGGGGTGGGTCTTTGCTGACTGCACTACTTGCTTCCATCTTAAACAGTGTAGCATTTGCAATTTCATTGATTCTTTGGTATATATCAGAATCCCCTCGTATATGTAATAAATTGAAATCCCCTCATATATGTTTGAAAAATCGAAGAATATTTTTAATGTATCTTTCTATCGTACGTATAAAAACCCAAATATGTTTTCAATTCTTTCTTAGGTCGGCCGAGTAATATAAACCATTTTAGAGTTGTTTATTTATTTCGCAGCTGCGTATGTTGCTCGATATTCTTTCATTTAAGCCGCCCGATGTACCTACTGCGTTTTCAAATTAATAATCTACGTCTTAATTTCCGAAGTATTTTGTTTATTTCAAGTTATGTGAACGAATTCTGAAGATAATCTCATCACTCTTGGTAAAGCCGGCCGCTGATCAAGGCGTGTTCAGCTTTGTTGGAGTCCGAATTTATTTTCAAATTCGAAATCTTTTCGGTTTCGTTTTCTTGTCATGGAAATGTAGCATGAAGTGACAGTAGCAGTTGGATACTTGGTATTGAGAAGTTTTACAATAGTTTTTGAAGATGGCCTAGTGTTGCCATTGTGCTGTGCCTGTCCCAGTCTTTAAAGGAGACGAGTTTTCAAGATTGTGTTCCAGCCGGGGCTGGCTTCCGCCCTCATCTTCTTATCCCTGGTCGTCATCCTAGATCTGCCTCCAGTATACTTCCAGTATGATTCCAGTTCCCGATCCCAGACATGCAGAGTGAAATTTGGTAAGGTTCAGGTAACTTTTTCTGTGTCTAAATTTTAAAGTCAAGATATACAATTTTTTTTTAATAATAATTGTAATAATAAATAAAACCTTTATTTTTGTTTTTTAAAAATATTTTTAGGTTCCTTTGGACAAATACTACAAAGTTATGATAACCTTTATTATGTGTACTGGCACTTTTTTCAGTTTTAGGTATAACAAAAACAATTGGTCCCAAAAGTTTGCTCTCACATTTCAAAATCGATGTTTTTAGCATCAAAAAGTGGATATTATCTGTGTAATTCGACATATATTTACTTATGCATTATTATCGAGCGTAACATTTTGAAAATGAAAAAGACAGCAAATATTTGATTTCACGCCTAAAGCGTCTATGTATCTGTTGATACGTATTTCGACCTAATAGGTCTCATCAGAACAGTTATTCATAGGCGTTCTCAACGTGAAAAATAAATATTCTCTGTCTTTTAAGAAGCAACACTAAAATGGCTTCGATATGGACGCAATAGCGATATCTGATAATAAATCCGTAAAATAGTTTCGAAACACAATTCAGATTTCTGCTTTATCTGAACCTTCTAAAATTGCAAGGTATAACAGACGTTGATAAAGATGTTAAAAGAGGCATGGGGAATCTAAAATTTGCATTCCACGACATGTCTCCTCAACTAAGCAGAAATCCTTAGCGAATTGGTTACTTGTATTCGTACAGAGTAGATCCGAATAAAATGATAAAGACAGCAAATATTTGATTTCACGCCTAAAGCGTCTATGTATCTATTGATACGTATTTCGACCTAATAGGTTTCATCAGAACAGTTATTCATAGGCGTTCTCAACGTGAAAAATATTTATTCTCTGTCTTTAAGAAGCAACATTAAAATGGTTTCGATATGGACGCAATACCGACATCTGATAATAAATCCTTAAAATAGTTTCGAAACCCAATTCAGATTTCTGCTTTATCTGAACCTTCTAAAATTGCAAGGTATAACAGACGTTGATAAAGATGTTAAAAGAGGCATAGGGAATCTAAAATTTGCATTCCACGACATGTCTCCTCAACTATAGTGTATTTTTATGTATGAGAGAGTAATAAAACAATAAATTATGTATGCAAATCCCTAAACTGTTGATACGGGTGACTCAATGAAAAACAGATATTTGTCAACAAGTTTACAGAAGTATATAGAAAAACAATTTTAAATTGAGTATGACCACCAGGTATAAAGGTTGGAGCAGAATAGAATACAATAGTTGTGAGGGTTACTAATCCCTAAATAAGGTTGTCAGTGTCGGAGTGATGAAGGTTAACAGGTACTAATGAATTTGCAAGAAATGTAAGATGTTTATTTTACTGGTTATATATAACCAATAAAAGTTTAATAAGTACCTACCTATTTGCAAAATAAAGTTTAATTCTTTAGATAAAATAAAACGTTTTATTTTATCTGAAATGAGTGCATTCCACAAAGTAAGGGTTTCAACAATCAAACATTTAATTCTTTAATTCCAGGAATCTACGACAGTAATTGACTAGATAATTACCTTCTAAACTTATTCCACAGAAAATGTGATAGTGGGTTTTTCCATTTTGTAGGAAGGTCCAAGTGGCGTATTCAAAATTCTTAACAGTTCACTAAAAGTAGGTACTTCAGTTGCAAGGTGCAGTTTATTGTGTATACTAGTGTTATGGAAAATTTGGAAGTGCCGTGTAAACGCCGAAAAATTGGTCCTTTAATAGTTAATGAAAAAACATTAATATTTAATTGTTTTAAATCATTTACAGACAAACGTTTATGTGAAAGTGTTGATTAGACCGTTGAGTTAGTTAGCAGTACACTTGGTGTTGGGAAATCTACGATTTACAGAGTTATTAAAGAAGAGAAAATGTGGTAGTTTTCAAATGCCACGTAATGCTCCAGGGAAACCAAAATTTCAAATAGATTATTATTTTAAAGAAGGACTTCGACGGAAAGTGCATGAATTCTTCTTTAGACAAGAATTTCCAACATTGGATAAAGTTCTTGTCTCAGTTCGAGATGATAAGGATTACCCAGAAGTGAGTCGAAGTACGTTATGGAAACTTTTAAAAGAAATAGGCTTCCGCTGGAAAAAGAATCCCAGAAAGTCTATTTTGTTAGAAAGAAGCGATATTG